AACTTTTTATACAATATTTTTCAAATTACTTTTACAATAAAAATTTTTCCAATTAACTTGGCCTCCAACCAAACAACCCCAAAAGTTAACATATGAATATGATTACCTTTTTCATTTGATGGCCAACAAAATAGAAGGTTAGCTTTCATTGCAGTCCACCAATAGAGAAGAAGGTAGATCTTGCAAATCCCTAAAAGACACAATTACCCTTCAAAATGACTCATTCACATTATTATTATTATTATTATTATTATTATTATTATTATTATTATTTTGATAAAGAAGACATATTATTGAATAAGAAAATTAAAGTCTGGGGTAGCAAACCCCTACATGATCAGCTAGACACAAAAGGTCCACCTTAGGTGAACATTCATCCAAGATAACAAAATCCAAAAGCAATTGAGCACCAATCTTAGCAATAGCATCAACTGCCATGTTGCTCTCTCTCGTAACATGCTTCAGTTGGGCTTGAGGAATCATATTCAAAAAGCCCCTACAATCCCTAAGAAGATTGTTGTGAGGATGATGCAGATTCGGTTCCCCAATAATCAGAAGAAAAGCAACTTTACAATAAGTTTCAATTATGATATTCTGAATATGGCGTTGAATGGCAATCATAAGCCCATCTCTAATCGCCCATAGCTTTGCAGCAAGAGTGGTGGTATACCCAATCCTACGTGTGAAGCCAACAACCCACTGCTCTTGAGAGTCCCGAAAGAGACCCCCACAGCTAGCACTACCAGGATTACTAATGACAAAACCATTAGTGTTAAGCTTGATCCAAGTAGTAGGAGGAGGCTCCCAAGAAATTAACCAAATTTGCTTCCGGGTTATGCTGCAAGATAAGGGATTAGATGACTAGAATTCAATCACTCTATCCATGATGATGTTGCTAGTATTTTGAGCATCAATATTCTGGTGACGATAAATAAACTGGTTGCGTTGGATCCATAACCCCAAATAACAAAACAAAAGATGACAGCCCAAGGAATGTTAAAAAAAGGGGCTTAATGTCATGTTACAAGACAAAGACCTTAACCATTGCTTAAAAGAACTGTTGTTTGGACTAAGGTCTGATCCCGAAAATATGATATTGAGAACAGAAACAGCAACTGGACATTTACAGAAAATGTGATCAATGGATTCAATCTGTGCATTGCAAATTTTACACATAGGATCTTTAATAATGCCAAGATTATGAAGATAATCAAAGGATTTAATCCTGCCATGAGCAAGAAGCCAGATAAACATGCGAACTTTGGGAATGGTAGGAATCTTCCAAATCCATGTCCATTTTCATTCTCCTCAAGAGGTCTTTCAGGAAGAAGTTTATAAGCAAAAGCAACATAAAATATACCATTGGCATTATTCTTCCAAGAGATACAATCTTTAGTTTGCCATAAATATAAAAAGGAGTACTAAGGATCTCTTTCACATAATCAAGAGGAAGGGAATATCCAATAATGTCCATATTAATAGTGCCTTGCTGAACAATATCAGAAAGAGCAATATTGGAAGTAGCAAGAGTATGAGGACCAAAAAAAATACAGTTCAAGAGAGCCTTACCAGC